TCTGTTGGATCTTTGGGCTCACCTGCATGTGAACCCCTCAGGTTCTCCCCCTGCCTGCCTGGGATCCAAAGGCCAAGGGAGGCCAGAGACATTGCATTTACCAGCCAACCGCAGTTGATTCCGATCTTCACTTCTGCTTCAGAATAGACCCCAGGCCCCTCTTGCTTTGTTGATACTCTATCCTCTCTCGGGTTGAACGGGGCAGCTGGAGCTAGAGATAAGCCTGGGCTTTGAAGCCAGACTTGGGTTCAAATCCAGCCTCTGGCATATACAGAACAATGGGTTAGGCTTTGTAGGCCTCAACCACTGTGTAGAGATGCAGCCTCTTTGCACTTCTGGAGTCTGATTGCCCACTTCTCAAATCCAAACACTTGGGTTTTTGCAATGCAAGACCAACATCTGTGTGGTATTTATTCTGATTGCTATGAGTCTTCTACATTCTGAATCAGAAGCTCACAGTGGTTGATGACAGGCTATAACTTAGAATCTGTGGTGTTCCTGTTCTAAAACCTGGAACATTCTGAATTCTAAAACATATGTGGTTCTACCTTAGACTTCAGTTAAGGGAGTATGGCCATGGGCTTGTCCTGTGGACTGAGGTTCTCAGATGCATTGGGCACTCAATGAATGGTTGCTGAGATCACCAACAGCTCCCCCAGGCAGCCCTACTTATATATACAGATACACACACTTGCACTCAGTCTCTTCCTGAGACACTCGGGGAAGGGGGAGGTCTGGGTAGGCTCCGCCTATAGGTGCAAAGAAGGAGACACATTTCCTTTTGCCTGGTGGCCCCTCACCTTGCCCTCTACCTGTATCCCCCAGAGATGACCAAGAGGGACGTGCCTGGCTTCGCCATTGGGGGCCTGAGCGGGGGCGAGAGTAAGAGCCAGTTCTGGAGGATGGTGGCGCTGAGTACCTCAAAGCTGCCTAAGGATAAGCCCCGATACCTGATGGGGGTTGGGTATGTGGAGAGGGAACAGTTACACCTTGGATATTGTTTCCTGATGGGTGTGGGAGGAGGCATGGTCTCCCTTGGGAGCAGTTCTGAGGAAATGTGACTTATTTTCCCTGAGAGAGTAAGGGTGGGGGGAGGCCTAGGTGTGTGATCAGGGCTTGATATTCTCTGCTAAACTCCCCTCCCCACCCATGGCCGCAATCCCAGCTATGCCACTGATCTGGTGGTCTGCGTGGCTCTTGGATGTGACATGTTCGACTGTGTCTTCCCCACCCGGACAGCGGTGAGGCTTGGGCAAGGGGCAGGCGGGTGGGGGTGGGGCCAGAGCAGGTAGATGCCTGGTCAAACCACCTTCTCCTTCTCCCTCAGCGCTTTGGTTCTGCACTAGTGCCGACTGGGAACCTGCAGCTGAAGAAGAAGCAGTATGAAAAGGACTTCCGCCCCATAGACCCTGAATGTACCTGTCCCACCTGCCAGAAGTAGGGAAATGAGGGGGATCTGGGGACTGGAGTAGCCTGTGGAGGGCAGCAGGCCACTGCCCTGCTGAGCCCCACCTCTTGCTCACAGGCACAGTCGGGCCTTCCTGCACACACTGCTCCACAGTGACAACACAGCCGCCTTACACCACCTCACGGTCCATAACATCGCCTACCAGGTGGGTCTGTGGCCAGGTGGGCAGTGGGGGGTGATGTGGGGTGATCTTCCTGGCCAACTGGCTGACACTGACAACTGTCCCTCTGTCCACAGCTGCAGCTGATGAGCGCTGTGCGTGCCAGCATCATGGAAAAGCGTTTTCCTGACTTTGTGCGGGACTTCATGGGCACCATGTATGGGGACCCCACCCTCTGTCCCACCTGGGCCACTGATGCTCTGGCTTCTGTGGGAATCACACTGGGCTGAGCTGGCATGGGGTAGGGTGGGGTGCAGGGGCAGGGAAGGAGAATAGAACATATTGAAGGGTTTGTTCTTTTGTATTCTAACCTAAGAGAGCCTGTGCCTTCTTGGGGAAGTTTCCTTTCTTGGTCCTCTTCTAAGTCTGAGAGTCACTATGGCCAATGTTCTCTCCCTCCCAATATTATTAGTATCAGTTAATGAGTAACAACAACAACAGCTGGTATCAGGAAACCAACTGGCATAGTCTAGAATGTAGTTTCCTCAGGGGCCTCCCGGGTGGTGCCAAGGGTGAAAGCACAGCACAGTGAAGCTATCTGTAGCCACTGGAGCACAAATTCAATCCCTGGCCAGGTTGCTGACCCACATGGCACAGCAGACCTCTCCTGACCTACCTACTTCTCCCCTCAGCAGTGTATTTCAGTAGCTCTGCCTGTTCTGCTCCCTGCTCTGACTCTGTTGAGTCCTCTTAACTCCTTGCATCTCTGGCCTGTACACCCGTTTTTTATGTCTAAATAAATAAATCTTTTCTTTAAAAAAAGAAGTGCCCTGAGTGGAAACTGCATTCTCTTTCCTGACTATCCTCCTGGGGATGGTCACATTTGTCCTCCTTCTATAGGTGGGAAAACAGGTCTGAAGAAGGATATATCTTGCCCAAGGATATCACTTAGGTAGTAGCAGCCTGGCTCCAGAGCTCATGCTCTTAGCTGTGACTCTTTAGACATGTCATTTAATCTTGCTGTCATTTAAGTGATGATCACAATAGGTGTTGGCTAGGTAATGTTTACACTGCGCCCTAGTCATCATGTGTAGTTAATAGTTGCAACTTTATGATCTATGTATAACTATGTTTCCCATTTTACAGACCCGAAATGAGTGGAGGAATGAAGTCACTTGGTCATTATCACTCAGCAAACAAATAAGCCTAGGATCTAACCCATGTATGGTCATTTACAGAGCTGGTGATCTAAGGAGATGAGATTATTTTTTTCTTTTAAAGATTTATTTTTATTTATGCATACAGAAAATGGGGTACAGGCCAGAGGTGTAAGGGTGAGAGGATTCACTGTTGCAAACCCAGGGTGAGAGGATTCACTGTTGCAAACCCACCGAGGGGTGCCCTGACCGGTATGTTCACTCAGAGACGCACTCAGAGACAGGAGAAACTGAAGTAGGACCCTGGGGTCTGAAGTCCGAAGTCTCTTTATTAGGACCGCCCATGTGTATATATAGGGTGTGTACATGCAGGGAAAAACAGGAAATGTGCCCTGATGCAAAGGGTGAGGTGCATGTTTGTACCCTGCCTGGGGCTTCTTGTAGCTTCTACTTGAAACAAAGTAGTGGGCTGCAGCTATTTGCAAAAGGAGTGCACTGTGCTCTGCTGGCTTGTTTGTTGGGGAGTTTGCTCACCCATGCACAACATTAGCCAGGGGGGACAGGTGCACTTGAGATCCAGCAGAGTTAGCCACAATTCACCAAGAGACAGTGGGGACCAGAACAGGTGGATCTACTGAACTATACTGAGAGGAGCAGTGGACAAGACAGGAGAGGTCTGCTGCCACCATGTGGGTTAGCTCCCTGGTCAGGGATGGAACTCATGTTGCAGTGGCTGGTGATAGCTTGATAGCCTAGGATTTTAACCCCTGTATCACCAGGGAGGCTTGAGGAGATGAGATTTCTTAATGAAAGTAATATATGTGTAGGACCCACAATTCAAATAGCATAAAAGTGCAGTTGCTTTTACTAGTTTGTGTATGCTTCCAGAAATTTACACGTGTACATATTTTTTTTTCATGAATGCCTACGCATTGAATGCCTTTCCATGCAATTTACCTTATTTAAAAAAATTTGTTTATATTTCAGTACATGCTTTCTACAGCTGCTGCCTAGTATTTCTTCAACCTACTGCAAAGATGGCAGTTAGAATGTTTTCATGTGCAATTTTGGTCAGGACTGGGGTGCCAAAACTTATCCATCATCTTCTTGCTCATCTCCAAAGTCAAGGTTTTGGGTCATGGAGCAGGAAGATGGACTGCTTCTTTCTGTCCCAGATGAATCAACACCCTTCTAAATAGGCTTCCTCCTATCCCTGGTCTCTTTTTCAAGAGGTCGCGTCCCAGTTCCCAGAATCCCGCACAGCTGTCTGCAGAATAATGTGAATTTTCTTGGGGAGAGATCTGCCGGACTCTCCAAAAGATAGATGTGCTAAAATCCAACGGGCAGGTGAAGGACGTTGGAGCATTAGCTACATGCAGACAGGGCATGAACTGACGTTATTCTTTCGAGAAGACATTACAGGAATGAAAGAGGGAGCCCACGATGCGATCCTAAACTGCCTCTGCCCAGGAAGCATTGCCAGGTCCCGACCCTTAAGCTCATTGGACTCAAGTGTGAACTGATGTGCAAACCCGAGGCCGAGATGCATTCTGGGACATGTATTTTTCTCTAGTGCCAGGCAATTCAGACGAGATGATTACTGGCTCTCACCACAAGGTGTCGCCCTAGGCGGGTACGTGAGTATTACCCTGTAGGCAGAAGTCTAATGGACAAAACAATCACAAGAATGATTGACCGATTAAGTTCTCAGTCATAGTCAAGATTCGAATGTAAAGCCCGCCCGCCTTCGCTTATTAGCTGGAGGAGCAGAGTGATATTTATATAAGCCAATGGGACAATTTTGGGAACTAGGTAGTGTCACTTGACAAGAGTGTGTCTGAGAATTGATTCTGTACATCATTGGCCAAGATTACTGACTGGCGGGTCTTCTTGCCAATAAAGTTGGCGACTTTTCTTACAGTCTGGGAACTTTCCAGGGTGGGCGGGGCCAACATAGCTTTTTTTCCGAAACATCGCCCCACTTCTCCCCCACCGGTTTTTGACAATTCTCTTCCTACCGCTATTGGCTCTTACACAAAAGCGACAGTTTTTATATCCAATGAGCCCGCAAGAAGGTCCCCAGGGGGGAAGGCTCAGTCAGCTGTGGGCTCTTGCCTCGCTTTCACTGGCTTACGTATATGAGTGGCAGCACGGCCGGCCAATCGGGGGAGGATCCAGGACTTTGGGCTCAGCCCCGGGGCCGGGGCGGGAGGTCGCTCGGGTCGGGTGTAGTCTGAGAACCGGATGAGGCGGCGACAGTGAGGCCGAGCCGGGAGCGGACGTCGCGCCAAGGCTCGGGCGGGCGGGGAGCAACGGCCGCGGACGCCGCGGGGCCGCGTCGTTGAGGGCAGGGAGCGGGCTGAGAGCGCCGGGCGCTCAGGCCGCGATCGCCGGCGCCATGGGCAACCGCGGGATGGAAGAGTTGATCCCGCTGGTCAACAAGCTGCAGGACGCCTTCAGTTCCATCGGCCAGAGCTGCCACCTGGACCTGCCGCAGATCGCCGTGGTGGGCGGCCAGAGCGCGGGCAAGAGCTCGGTGCTCGAGAACTTCGTGGGCCGGTGAGCAAGAGCTGCGGCGGCGGGCGGCGGCCTGCGGTGCGGAGGGCGGACCGGGAATGGCGCGCCCTGCGCCGCCGGCGTAGCTGCGGCGCTTGCGTGCCCTCGACGGGACAGGGACAGGGAGGCGGGCTCTTTGGGACGTCTTGGGCGAAGGGCTCCTCGCTGGGCTAGGGAGGCGGCCTAGGCTCCCCGGGTGTCTCACGGGCTGGGGGGCGTGGGCCAGGAGGTGCCTTGGCGCCCTGCCGACGCGCTGGTCTCCAGACTCTAGCGGGCGATCTCCACCCTCTGGTTGCCAGGGGTAGGCCCTCCCTGTCTGTGTGTCCCAATACCCGCCACCTAGATACCTGTTGGGCCTACCCCTGGGGTCTGGTTAGCTGTTCATTTTTTTGCAGCAGCGCCGGCCTTCTGGTCGACTGTCGGTGTAGCATTCCCTGCCACTACCGTTTGACTGTCCATTTGTCCAGTCCTGCGGTACAGCCCCCTGGTGTCTGGACAGCTGTTCAGTGTGACCGGTGCTGTCTGGCCGCGCATCCCTGCCCCTTTCATTTAACACTTAGGCATCCTTTCCTTGAGTTACCTCATCTGATCTCTGTTGTCTGACTGATTGGCTGGACCCAAGCAAACCCTGTTGTCTGGCTTCTTCCTCTGTTTCTATAGCTTGGTCCTTGGCAAATGAGGGTATGTAAGGGGTTGAGGAGTCCTCCCTTCCAAGTGCATTCTACTGTCTGTTTGTCGAGGTATTTGACCTCCACTTAGTCTGCCTATCAGTGCCTTTGTAGCCCCCAACTTTTTAGCCCTACCTCACTGGGGGACTTGGAGCGAAGAGGGCTCAAGGATCTATTGGGAGCTCCTCACCTCCCAATTGAATGTAGGGAAACATTCTCCAGGATTCTCTCCAAGGGCCTAGAACACAGGGGCTTCCATGCTAAAGCCTGCATATTGAGGCCCCTTCTCGGAGTCTGGGAAGGGACTTCTTGCCTGGTCAGGCTTCAGTGGCAAGAGCTGGGTGACAGTTTTCCTGGGTAGCCCTGAGAAGCCTCAGTTTGCCGATATGTCCAGTAGGCTTCATTCTCTGGAGTATTTCCAGGATTCAAGAAGCTAATGGATAAGAATGGGTGCAATGACCAGAGGGCAGTTGGTTCTCCCCTCTCCCTTTGCTCGTGATCTTCTGCCTCCCCTCTCCATTCTGGGAAGTAATCTATTTGTGACTGTAGCTGTCAGATGTTAACATTATAGTCATAACTACAATTATCATCGTTGATACCCAGTGTCATGGGATAACATTGAGGCTCTGGTCTGAGTTCTTTGTTCATCATCTGGAATCCCATGAGTGAGTGAGGTGGAGGTCCTAGAATTGAGCAGGGAGATTCAGAAAGGTCTAGCTATTTGCCCAGCACCATCAGCGGCTCAGTGAGGCCCAACTGAACACCCAGCTCCACTCCTGCCTTGCCAGGAGTCTGGGGTTTTGATCTCAGCAGCATGAATTTCCTTGTTTGCTGTTTTGTCTCTGGCAAGTTGCCTTCTGTCCGGTGTGGCGGAAAGGTGTGGGCCTTGGGTCAGCCAGTACTGGCCTGAACCTCGGGCTGGGGTGTGGGCCCCTCTCTATGGCCATTTTCCTGCCCGCCCAGGCTGCTGATGGGTTCCAGCAAAGCTCTGTTCATTTACTTTGCCTTGTGACCTTGCATTGGTGGTTTGACTTCTCTGAGCCTTGGTCTTCTTCCTGAAAATGGGGTGATAAAGCCATAGGAAGATTGCAACAAGGACACGGTGTGTTGAACATGCTGACTTAACATAGAGTATGTCTCTGTAGAGGGACTGTTATTCATGAGGCTGGTTCCTCTCAAAACTACAGTGAAAGCTCATCAGAATTAAATACTCTCAAGTCACGTGCAAGACTACATTTAAGTGTATAAAGGTGGCACTGTTATGACTCACATTTTACAGAACAGGAAACTGAGGCTCAGAGTTGAGCAGTCTTGCTCAAGCTATTCAATGAGGAATTGGGGGCTCTGGGTTGGGGGCCCCAAGCATCTCCTCCCTACCCCTCCTTGGTCTCTCTGTTCTTTGCTTTCTCACGTACCTGCACTAGAATATGGTGACCACCTTCTCTCAGAAGCCTACAGGGCAGACTTGGGTCCTTAAGAACTTATAATTCAGGGCCCACGAACCAAAGATACATAAAGACCTCTCTTCTGATATGGGATGCGCGAATAGAGTTAACTTGTTCTTATTTCCCGAATGTGAACAAGGCCTCTTTGCTGCTCCAAGGGAACAACAGGTGGTCTTTACCTTGAATCTCACAAATTTTCATGAATTTGGCCAAAAAGCAGCAGAGAGCCTGTACTTCCTCCCGTGTACCATGCCTTAAAGTGGACATCCAGCTGCTCACAAGGAACGAATGAGAGCACGTTAAGGACTTGTCCCCAGGGGCACCATGGGCTTGTATCTTTCACTGCCTCTTTCTCATGGATTTTCTAAGAACTCTGGTTGCAGCAGCCCAGTTGGCTCAGCCCTGGATCAGGTGTTGCAGATAGGGGGCCGTGGGGGCCAAGACCTGCTTGCTGCATCTTTTGTTTCAACTGCATGGTGTTTAAAAAAAAAGAAACAAACCCACCTTTTTTAGTTGCCAACATTTGAAAATTAGACTTTACATCAACATCCAGATTTCTGCAGTGTGAGAAAGTAAAGATCTTTGGAGTTTAGTGATGTTCTGCCCAGCTGTAGAACCATGAATTTAGCTGAATAGACTTATGTTCCTTTCTGTAAAGTGGGGGTGATGACTAGACCCTTCCAGGGGTCTGGGTGAATTATGTGTATCCAGTATGTGGACCCTGTAGCCATGGTCATTGTTATAGTCACTGCATTCTGGTCTCCCTGGGCCCATGTCATGTTTGACACCAACTGTTTGGATCTTAAGCAGTCGTCTGTTCCCATCAGACTGCGCATGGCCACGTCAGCTGCCATAAGCCCCTCTACTCCCTAGTGCTCTCCCAGGCCCAGTTCACATTTGTCTGGACCTTCCTGGCCTTGGAAACTGTTAAGCTGAAGGCCTTCTGCTTGCCTGCACCAGCTGATAGGCCTGTGGCCCTAAGGAAAGGAGCACATGTGGCTTTGTTGACTTTGTCATGTAACTGGCGAGAGGGAGAGACTTACAAATTCGTTTTTTTTTTTTTTTTTGAGGGGGGAGAAGAGTGGGAGGAGGCTGAGGTTGGGACCTCCAGCTTTGAGTCCCCCAAGGCCCAGGCTTGATTCCTTGAGCCTCACCTCCCTGAGCCTCAGTTTCCCAACTAGGAGGCAGGGCTGTATCTACTCTTAGGCCTCTTTCAGGCAGTCTTGTAGGGTGTGTTTCACCTCTTAGGACAGATAAATGACTGGTGCCCTCCTTGAGGGATGAGTAAGGATTAATGAGCCCATTTAGATTCTTGGAGGAATGTCTAGCACCATAAAGCTTAATATTCAATGTGTTTTTCATTTGTTCCTTGAAAATATTTTCTGAGCATATACACTGTGTGTGTGTGTGTTTTGCGGGGGTGGGGGGATGGTGAAGGGAGAGCTTGTTGGGGACATAGCCTGTACATAGACAGCTCTGAGCAAGATAGCAAACTCCTGCCTCCGGGAAGCTGGCCTTTCCTGGGAGTGGGGATGGGGGTAGATAAGGAAGAAATACCTTTGGAGGTTGATAACTCTTGTGGGGAAAGAGCAAGGGCTATGGAGAGTTCAGTAGTGTGGGGAGGGTAGTTTTATTTTATTTATTTATTTTTAAAGATTTATTTATTTACACATACAAGAACTGGGGTATAGGCCAGAGGTGTGGGGAGTGAGAGGATTCACCAGAGACACAGTGGGGAGCAGAACAGGCAGATGTACTGAAATGGACTGCTGAGGGGAGCATTGAGTGGGACAGGAGAGGTCTGCCACTCCATGAGGATTAGCTCCCTGACGGGGATCTAACTCTGCTGCAGACAGCCTCACAGTGTTGCACTTTAAACCGTTGCAGTACTAGGGAGGGCCGGGAGGACAGTTTTGAATAGGGTGCTCATGGGTGCCATGGAGGGAGAACTACAGGAACTATATAGAGGGCAGAAATCAGATGCTGTCCAAAAATAAACAACAATGTAAGAATAAAGCCCAAATCCTTTGTTTTAGTATATGAATGAACTGATTGATAAATAGGGCACCTAGGGACTTGGGAAGGTGACATTTGAACAGAGATTTTAATTCTGTGAGGTGCAGATCTGTTGGAAGAACATCCCAGGCTGTGGGAAGAGCCAACACAAAGGCCCTGAGGTAGAAGTGTGCCTGGGCCAGTATAATGGGAGGGTGGGGAGAAATGAGGTTCAGGAACTATTGGGTGGGTTGGGGTGCATTGCCAAGTAGCCTTGGGGGCCAGGGAAAGTTCTGAACCTAGAGAAAGCTGCTGGTGGTATTGTCACTATTTTTCTGATCCTCACTGCTGGCTCTCCTCTCACCTCATTTGTCTCAGTAAGCGTGCCCCCCCCCCCCAGTACATGTGGGTGCCCAGTACCATTTTCATTTTACCAGAAGCTGCCATGGGAGGCAGGGCAGGACAACACTGCTGTCTCCAGTTGCATTTCCAGTTGGTCTTGGCGGGGAGGGGTGTTCTTCCAGGGAAACATGACTGCCACAGATCCACTACCTAGTACCTAGTGGGTACCAGCACCCAGCGGGTGCATTGAATGACCTTTGACTCTTGTGCTGGTCAGACTGAGGGACATCTGGTATATGCTCTTTGGGTTGGTTTGTCCCCAAACAGGAGCCACTTGGAAATGACTTACTCTTTCTTTTAGACAAAACTGAAGGGCTTTGCCTGTGTGCTTGAGCTTACCCTAGCTAGTCAGGGAGATGGCTAGGGTGCTGACACTGACTCGGTACTGCTGCACTCTGCAAAATGACTTCACTTCCCTGGATCTCAGTTTCTTCATCTGGAAAATGGGGTTCTCAGCATTCCATCCCTCTGGACAGTGGCATGGGGATCCACT